ACAGACTCAGACTTTTGAATGAATATATACAGACTCATATTTCCTCATTGGTTAATTGTATATTACCATGCCTATATTCGCTCAAACACCGTTTTATGTGCATGCAAAATTTTATGAGCCCTCACTAGGTGGGCATGGGCTCGAGGAGACACTGGGTGCACCAAGAAGGCTCTCTGTGTGTGCTCTGTTGAAATGTGTACAATGTGTACGTGTACGTGCTGCAATTGAAGTATGCGGGTTCCGATCAACAACAGATACTACAAAGGCTTTCTCAGACCTTAATACGTTTGCTGTCCCAGCAGCTGGGCTGGGGAAATACTGATCTCTTCTGCTTTCTCTCTACACCTCCCACCCTGCCCCTGAACTTCCCCAACTCAGAGACTGTTTTACTAGGGGAACCCAGCTGTGTTGAAAGTGAATTTTGTGGGAAAATCTTCTGTGGGGTATGTGGACCTTGCTTGGAGCAATGGGCTACTAGGCCCTCATGCTTAAAGCCTTGCTGGGGCGGTGAAGTTGGTACGGTGGTCTCTGGGTAGTGGCCTGGGGCAGCTGTGGGCTAGGGTACTGGAGAGGCCTGCCAGAATGGGTAGGAGTGTGGTGAACATCTATCCTCTAGCCTTGCTCACTGTGTCCGTTTACCCGGTCCCAAGATTTGCCTGCGTCCGTTGTCTGTGGGACAGATTAGGGGTTCTCTAAGTTCCCAAAATACCCAGATCTGGTTACTAATGGGACTTTGTTTTAATCCAGTCTGCTACATAAGCTAGGAGAAGGCTGATGGGGCAATGCCAGAGGGTCTGGCCCCCTGTGGGCCTGGAGCATTGAGTGTGGGCCAGCGCAGGCAATTAACCAGCCTCCTTTCCTAGCCTTTCTCCCTAATGGGGCCACGAAAAGACAGAGCAAGGGGGAAATAGAAATGTCCTTAAAAGAAAAAAACTCATAAAAGAAAGTAAGGACAGGAGAGGGGCTGGCGGCATTTTCCTCTACTCCTAGGCGATCAGGTTCCTACCAAGACTCTCCTGTCCAAACATGCTATGGTGCGGAGGCTTGCAGCTTCCTTCCACGTTCTCTCCGTTGGCACCAACGGCGGCCTTGGGTTTTCAGGCCTTGGGCACCCCTGGGTGCCGGTGTGACATTACCCCCAAATTGTGCCCCTCTCCTGGCCCATGGCCTCTGCCACGGCGGCGGCGGTGCAGCTGCCCCTGTTTATTGTGTCTGTGAGGAGTTGTTTACTTGTTTTGTCTGCTGCCACCCTGCGTCTGAAACCCGCCAAACCAGCAAACTCACCCAGGAGAACAAAGTGCAGTGCTATCCTGACTCCCTCCCCTTTCCAGCACCCCGCTCCAGCCCTTACAGCTCTTACCTCCTCCCTCCCTCTCTCTTTCTGAAGGGAGGAAGCAGAAATCGTTCTAAAATAGGGCAGCTGTTTATAGGGTTGGGGGAATTATGGGGACACCATAAACCTTCAGTGTCCTGGTGGTAGAGAGACTTTGAGCAGCCCTCCCCTTGCCTCCAGCTTTTCTTCCTTCCCCCTGGCAACTGCCTGGTTAAGGTGGCCACAGTCATTGAGAAAGTTGAGCCCCCCTCACCCCTCTCCCCCATTCCTTTTTGCAGGAGTTTTCCCTGAGACACAGGTTGTTGGGTTTTAAATCAGGGTAATGTTGGCAGATTCGTAAAGCTAGATAAAGCATGTTGCTCACCCTCCCTTCTCCTCAGCCCCCCAAAATAGCAGTGAATTTAAGCAAATCCTACAAAATTAAATTGCCCCTTCGCTAAAGATCCTATAAATTTCCAATCCCGCCAGGTGTAGAGTCAGAGAGGCGGCTCGGTTTGCCTCTAATTTTGCTCCTGGCTATCAAACCTAAAAGAGTATCATTGAAGTAAGTAATATTCTCCTTTCTGAAATTAATTCCCCCCTCCCCATCTCTCTCCCTCTTTTTGCCAGCACAGATTAAATGGTTCTTTCAAATCTGCAAACAATAAAGGATAAAATTATTTATAGGGAAATGAGGACTATGTTTCATTGTTGGCTTATTGTTCCAGAACATAAAAACATTTTATTTTCAAGTGGGAGAACTTACACAAGGGGAAGAAGGGGGAAAGGAAAACCAAGTGAGGGGAAGCAGGGCACCCCCACACAAAGCTCCCGTTATATATAACTTTTATGACATTTACAATTTCCTCATGACAACTCACTGTGACGTCATAAATGCCATGTTCTTGAATTTTATAATTCTCATAACCCTCCAAAATCGGCCTAAGCAGTATTTGCTCAGTGTGGAGGGATAGAAGAGAAGCCAGGAGGTCAGGAATCCTTTGGCCTCATTCTGGGGGCCAAAAATATTCTGAATATTTTGGATTTTCATTTTTCCTCCTGGACCAAGCAAACCACTTGCTTTGCCTCCCTGAAATGCCCCTCAGGATCAGAGCTCCGTCCCTTTCTTGAAGGCTCTCTTTGTGCCCCCTCCTCAGCTCATATCAGCTGCTTGGGAGAGAGCTGGGACGATTGGGGGCCAGGCCACAAAAGCCAGAAATGATTTCTTCCAGAGGGAACCCACAAGGGCCTCAGACTGAGTATGATGGGACAGATATACTTGAGACCTATTTTATTTTTTAACCTTCAGCCAGAGAAGTGAATTGAGAAGCCAAACAAACGCCGATGTGGGAGTTGATGCTTGCTGATGGTAGCAGCATTAAGTGGAGTGGTAGTAATGAAAGGTCAGGCAGAAATCTGGAAAGAGAGAGGGAGGAGAGAAAATATGATGTGAGTTAGCAGAGCCCCTCCATGTACCTTTCTTCTCTGTTTAATGACACATAAAACAAAAGCAGCTTGGGCAGCCTCTAAACCTCTTAACTCGAAAGAGGAGTCACCAGCCCAGGCCTCCGAGGTGTTTGAGGCAGTTCTCAGGCACTTGACATGCCCCATCTGGCCTCTTCCTTCTCCCCCCTTCCCTGTGGACCCCCAATTTTATTCAGCTGGCCAGCTGGGGCCATGTCCCTTTATAATATCAGCACCCCCTGATGGAATCCATTTCCGGGTTGGGTGTGTCAAATTTCACCTTTCTCCAAGTGTCTCCCTGCCTGAACTTTGAAAGGAGAAGGAGCATATTTGGGAATGCAGTGTGTATATGGGGAGGTATGTACTCAGACAACTTCTCCCACATATCTGTGAGAAACTGGGGGCCCCTAGAGTGAGCTATTCTTTGATGTCTCCAAGCAGACCCAGTTCCCTGCGTTCAGGTTCTTTGGTGGTGGACTGAGAGATTCTGCAATCCTTTTATTCTGGATTCTGTGGAGATCAAAGGAGTTCATGCACAAAACACTGGGCATTTGGAGTAGGATTTAAAATTTTTTTTAAAAAATACAAAAGCTAATCATAGACCAGTCGGGGCCAAGTGAATAGTCAGTTGCTTTAGAACAGCAAAGTCTTAACCAAACAGTGCGATTGTGAAGTGAGCTGAACAAGTCCTGAAACTCAGCTTTCTCTGCAAGAGGGATTTCAGCCCTTGCCCAGTGGCACAAAAGGGGCCGGTGGGGCAACAGCTCCTTCCAGCTCTGGAAATTAAGAATTGGCGGGTGGGTCAGGCAGCTGCGGTGGCTTCCAGGCAGCTAAACACCAGCCCAGCCGAGGCCGAGGCCGAGCGCTGAGTACTGCGGCTCCAGTGTTGGGTCCCTGAGCAACCTTCGGAGGCGCCGAGCTGTGGCTGGTGGCGCAGGCAGCCAGGAAAGGAGTGTGTGTATCTGTATGCGAGACTGAGTGGGTCACAGACATCCACACGCAGACTTGGGGGATCTAGGGAGAGAGGAAAAAACGGGCAGAACACAAACTAGCAGGACCTCTGGAAAAGACTGCTCCCAAATAAAAATTTTAGATCTCATCCCTCTCACTTCAGATACCCTTCCCTAAGAAATTAATATATTTCCCAGAGCAGAATGGAAAGCAAAGGCAAGCAAGGTGAGGCCTGACTACGAATCCCTTCTCTTCTCGGCCAGAGCCCAGTTCCACCCACCCTTTTCCCCCTTCAGAGGCACACAGGCCCCCAGGCCCTGGCCTGGAGCAGGGTGAGGCTCCGGGTAGGAGTGCTTGACTAGCCTTGGGAAACCCTCAAGTGCCCAGCTTCCAATTAGACCCTTAGCCTTGGGGACTCCTGACCAGGGACTGCCCCCCACTCAGGCTCAGGGCATGCCTGCAGTAAGTTTCTCTCCTATAATTAGTGCTTGTGAAAAGCATGTGTTTTGGATTGGGGAGGGGGCTGGAGCAGCAAGCGGCAACTTTCCCCCTTTATTCCTGTCCTGTGTTGTTTGAATTCTGTTTTTGAATCCACTAATTACAGCTGCCAAAGCAAAAATCTGCTCTTGCTGCCAAACCCCCTCGGAATGCCTGATTTCCGAGGCCGAAAGGGCAGAGCAACTCTGAGACCTGCGGGCCTGATGGGGGGTGTTCTCTGATTCTCCAGGCTTGTTTTATAGAAACAAAGAACAAGTTATCCCTCCCTTCCTAGGACTTGTGCATATTTACAGAGCTCAACTGCAGTTTTAATAAAACATCTGTTCTTGCTTCTGTTGATGAGTTTCCATAATTGTTTTCAGACAAATTTAACAGGAAAATAGAAATATATTTAGAAAAACCCAAGTCCCAGCTTTCTCCCCATAGACAGTCGTTCTTTTGCCAAAAAAAAGAGAAAGAAATTAACATAAAATGAGAAGAGGAAAATGTAATCCAATGGAGGGAAGATCGGGCTCATCTGACCTGCTCTCCCCCCTTGGAGCGAATCCTTCCAGCAAATTTCAGCTGCATAATTAAAGATCTAACTGAAAGAAGGAAGCTTCTTTCCTCAGGAACGGAAGGAGAGGGGGTAGAATGTGGTGGAAATTAATTTTGCTGAAAGTCTTTAAGCTTTGGGGAAATTATTTGTGTTTCTGCTTCCCCTTCTCTCCCCCTCCCAACATTTCTGCCCCCCCCCCCCCCAGCAGCTGGTTTCTGTTCATTATAAATCCGAGAGACCTTTCAGTCTCTGCCCTCTGTTTAGGGACGTAATAAAACACTTAACTTTCCGGGGCTGAGATTTTCCTCAGGTCGTCCGTCCCCCCCACTGCCCTTAGGCCCAAAGGAGACTCTCCCCAACTTTGGGGCCCCTTTCCCCTCTAGACTTGGTTTAGTAGGGGCTCAAGGAAACTCAGGCATCCTTGCTGAAGAGCTGCAGTACGTGTTTCCCCAGAAGCCCTTTCTTTCTTTCAAGGACCTTCCTTCCCCCACCCACCCATAAAAGAGATTTAAAAATACATAGAAAATCAACACTCATTGAAAGCAAAACTTCATTAAGATGTCCTATCTTCCATCATTCAATTTGTTGTACATTGCAACAATTTAATATCTTGCAGGAAATATCACTGACATGATTTATCCCTCTAGCAATCTCTTTCTGAAATGGGGGGGTGGAATTTACTCTTTCTTTGGCCTGTTCTACGTGTTACACCACTACCCTTAGGGCAGAAATGAGTCTGGGAACTCTGAGAGCGGCTACTCCTGTCCAGGGGTGCACTGACTTGTTCCTTAGCTCAGCCCCCTGGGTCTCCCCGCCCCTATTTCTCTCTCTCTCTCTCCCTTTTGCCCTCCAGGGGGCCTGGAGCCCCAGCCAGCTGTTGGAAACCTCTGTTCAGGCATGCCATGAATTGGAGGACAACTGGATTCTAGAGGGGATAGCAATTCACGCTAGTGTCTGTGTTTGTGAACCTGTCACGTCACCCCAAAATGAGACGATTCATCTAAAAATTTCTTCTTAATTTAAGAACCCTCCTCTACCCTTTCACCTTCATCTCCGTGGGGAGAGGAAAGTATGGTCCAAGAGGAAGAACCTTTGTAATTAAGGGGTCTTTCCCCTACCCTTCTAAATAACAGCAAATTCCCTTCTCTGAAGGACTGAGCCTGTATTTTCAAAAGCCAACACAAATTATTTGGCAGGAAGACTCTTCAACCCGGTAAGGAGCTTCATGTATTAACTAACATGTTGTCGCCACCAGCTCCTGCACACTGTCTGCTTTTGGGTTCAAAAACTTTATCCCCCCACCCCAGCGACACTCCAGGGAAACCTTAACGTTACAGAAGATGAATAAACGAGTTTTTTTCCCAGCATAGTGCCGTTTATGGCTTTATTGCTACCCATTGATTACTCCGCTTTGTTACACAGAAGGAAAAGATCATAAAATCTGGCGACATCCGGGTCCTTGTTATAGCCAGTCCTCCCCCCCCAAAAAAATGATGAGGGGAAAATATGAGCTTCCATTGCTCTCTTCACTTGCCCACCACCCCTTTTTTGTCAACTCAAAGTCGTTTTAGCCTATGTCAGCATAGCAAATTAAGTTTGGATTAATCAGGAGTAAAACCCCATCTGCACACCTTCCGCTGCTTCAGTTCACCCACTGCGGCTCCCTCAGACTCAGACTCAGCTGCCTTTTCCTAACCTTCTCTTCCTTTTTCTCAGCCTCAAGGTGGAAAGAAAGGGGGGGGTAGGGGCTGCTGAGAGGCTGGGCCCCACCAGGTATGGCTGACCCTCATGTGAGAGCTCCCCAGGAGCACTTTGCTGGAATCTCTAAGCCCCAGAGCTCAGGTCCAAGGGTGCCTCCCTTAGCAGGGTAGAGAGCCCAGAGGGGGCAGGGGGCTTCTGACGTGTGCAAGGGCTTGAGCTTGCAAGATGCTAAATGTCCATCAGAGCTCCACCAGCCTTCTCTTTCTGGCTGGATCTTACGTGAATTACCCCACCGGCCCTCAATGGCTCCAAATCATAAATTCTCACCAACATAAACAGGAGTTGATGTGTCTAGAAAGACTCTGAGTTCTTTCTCCTTCTTTTCGCTCTCTCTCTTTCACCTTTTGCTTCTTTCCCTCCCTTTCCTATAGTATTTTTATACATTCTCCCTTTTAGGCAAAAATGCTGCCAGAGTTTCCCCCAAAAGGGGGTGCTGAGGAAGAGGCAGAGGGAGCTGGGGAGGAGGAAAGCAGTTGCCTGGCCCCTCTGCCCACCTCAGATCTGCCACTACCCTGAAGTCTCTCCCTTACCCCTTGAGACCTACTTGCTCCCCTCATGCCCCCTACATCCAAGACTCTCAGCCACACCCTCCTTCCTCTGAGCATCATGTTTATGAATTTCTTCTTACTCTTGATTTAAAAAATTATTGGGGAAAAAAATGCTGGTTTGGTGATGAGGAATCACTTCGTGGAATATAAAACCAGGATTTCCTGTAGGATTTCTGGGGACCCCCCCTGAGCTGAGAGGGAGCCCCTCCCATGGAGAAATCAAGATGTAATTTTAGAAGAGAGCAGATATAAATGATGAAATCGGATTGAAAATACAGAGATTCCCCAGCCTGGCTCTGGCCACTGCACAGCAAAGTTAGCTGGGGCTGAGCGAGTGCAGCTCTCCTTCCCTGGGCCCCAAGGCCCTGCTCACGGACATTCACCCTTCCTTCACCTCCACATCAGCTCCCTTACGTGTATATATATTTTAAAAATCCAAGTCTTACTTTCAAAGCACACACTTAGTCTCAACTAGGGAATCAACAGAAGCAGAAGCGATTTTTTTCCCCCTTCTTGACATCTGGCTTGCGATTGGCTGGAAGGGGGTCAGCTGACTTTGTCATTTTGTCTGTCCTGGATTGGAGCCGTCCCTATAACCATCTAGTTCCGAGTACAAACTGGAGACAGAAATAAATATTAAAGAAATCATAGCCCGACCAGGTAAAGGCAAAGGGATGAATTCCTACTTCACTAACCCTTCCTTATCCTGCCACCTCGCCGGCGGCCAGGACGTCCTCCCCAACGTCGCCCTCAATTCCACCGCCTATGATCCAGTGAGGCATTTCTCGACGTATGGAGCGGCTGTTGCCCAGAACCGGATCTACTCGACTCCCTTTTATTCGCCACAGGAGAATGTCGTGTTCAGTTCCAGCCGGGGGCCGTATGACTATGGATCTAATTCCTTTTACCAGGAGAAAGACATGCTCTCAAACTGCAGACAAAACACCTTAGGACATAACACACAGACCTCAATCGCTCAGGATTTTAGTTCTGAGCAGGGCAGGACTGCGCCCCAGGACCAGAAAGCCAGTATCCAGATTTACCCCTGGATGCAGCGAATGAATTCGCACAGTGGTGAGTTTTACAGCTCCGAGATATAAATTAAATAAACTGAACTGGCTTTATGACCGGCTTCCCTAGAAGAACGGGCGGAGAGAGTTTTTTATGGCCCCATAAAAACAATCACGCTCGTCTCCTCGCCGACGCCGAGACAGGGCCCCCTCTTCTGCCCCCTCTGCTCGCCTCCCGCTTGCTCGCAGGGGCCTGGCCCCCTCGGCCCCTGACTGATTAGAGGGCTCCAAGGCGAGCTGGGGAGGGGGGGGGGCGCGGCAGAAACAGGGCAGGGAGTGAGGGGAGGAGGCAGGGGTGGGGGAACCCCCAAAGTCGAGTCAGTCTGAGGAGCAGGGAGGGGGAAAGGAGGGGACAGAAAGTCGGGGGAGAAGTTTGCAAGGAGCTAGGGTGCTTGGGGAGGTGGGGGAGTTCAGTCGTTGAGAAATAGGGCCCTCATCCCCAGGGTTGAGGATTTTTCAAAATCCAGCATTTAGATTTACAGCTTTCTGGCTGGTTTTTGCCCCCTGCCCTGCCACCATTCTGTGGGACACACACCCACCACCCTACAGGGTGGGGGGACTGAAGTTGGGATCCTGGCTGTACCCCGAGTGGGGGTGGGGCAGGGCGAGTGGGAGCAGGCTGCAGGGGCCCTGAGCTGCTGGCCCAGTTGGGAGGGCCAGGACTGGACTGGGCTAAATTGTCTGCGGAGGGCGCCTCGCTGATTGTGTTTAGTGTGTTTTGTGCCTGGATCTCCAGGGGTTGGCTACGGAGCGGACCGGAGGCGCGGCCGCCAGATCTACTCGCGGTACCAGACCCTGGAACTGGAGAAGGAATTTCACTTCAACCGCTACCTAACGCGGCGCCGGCGCATCGAGATCGCCAACGCGCTCTGCCTGACCGAGCGACAGATCAAAATCTGGTTCCAGAACCGCCGGATGAAGTGGAAAAAGGAATCTAATCTCACGTCCACGCTCTCAGGGGGCGGCGGAGGGGCCGCGGCCGACAGCCTGGGCGGAAAAGAGGAGAAGCGGGAAGAGACAGAGGAGGAGAAGCAGAAAGAGTGACCGGGACTGTCCCTCCCCCCTCCTCCTCCTTCGCCCCCAGCGCCCCCTGACCACACGCTCTGTATTTATCGCTGGCACAACTGGTGTGTCTTGGCACCCTAAGGAGCATTAGGGAGTCAGATATGGACCTGAAAGTAAACTCTGGACCCCCGCCCTCACCGCACAAACTCTCTCACTGCGCGCCGCCGCCTCTTCCTCCTCCTCCTCCTTCTCCTCCTCCTCGCTCCCTCGCTAGCTCGCTCCCGGCTTGTCTGCAGGCCCCTTCCCCCGCCCAGGCCTTGGGGGCTCTGTCCCTGAACCTCGCTTCAGACGCCCCTGTTCTCCCTCGAAGGAGGACTTGGCCTCCCACCCCCTCGGCGCCCCCTCCCGCCCCTGCGCATAGAGCCGGCTCCCGGGCCCGGGGCCTCCACTCCGGGGCCTTAGGGCCCGGCCTGGCGGCGGGGAGGGCGGGAGGCCCAAGGAGGGCGCGTCTTGGCCCCACAGACACCCCCAGGGCCTCCCCGCAGCCCCTGCCCGGCCCCTCTGCCCCAGCAAATGCCCAGCCCAGGCGAATTGTATTTAAAGAATCCTGGGGGTCATTATGGCATATTACAAACTGTGACCGTTTCTGTGTGAATATTTTTAGCTGTATTTGTGGTCTCTGTATTTATATTTATGTTTAGCACCGTCCGTGTTCCTATCCCATCTTAAAAAGGAAAAAAAAAAGAGAGGGAAAATTACAAAAAGAGAAAAAAAGTGAATGACGTTTGTTTAGCCAGTAGGAGAAAAAAAAATAATAAATTTAAAAAAATCCCCTCGTGTTACCCTCCTGTATAAATCCGACCTCTGGATCCGTCCCCGAATATTTAATAAAACTGATATTATTTTTAAAAGTTTACATCGGGGTTTCTGTGACTTCGCTCGCCCGCCGTGCCTTGGGGTGAAAGTTGGGGCCGCTCCCGGAGCCCCGCGCCCGCTGCAGCCTGCGAGCCCCCAGCCTCTGCATCGCCTGGCCGGGCGGGCGCCAGCCTGGCCGCCCCTCCGCCGGGCTGGGAGGCCTCTCCTGGGCTCCCTACGCGAAGCAACACACTCACCCCGCAGAAAAAGCTGCTTGGGATTTTGATGGGGGTCAGGGAGACGCCGGGGCTGGTCGGCTTGGTCTCCAGCCCCACGCAGGCCTTCTTCCTGCCTGTGATAGTCTGGGGTCGGTCTTCTGAACCACAAGCCTCCCCCCCACCCCCCAAACCCAGAAAAGCAGCACGATCCAGGGCACCAGGGCTCCCCCGCCCACTCTCGGGGTGAGGAGGGGGCGCTCTGCGAGCAGCCCCCTGCCCGCGCCAGGCCGATGGTTGCGAAACCTGGCGGAGGCGGAGAGAGGAGGGGAAACGAAGACAGCGGGATTTGAGCCCTTCGCCCGGACTGAGCGATTCAAGGACATCTCGAGCAAGAACGCCTGGAAACTGAGCTCTCGCCTGCTCTGGGACTCCTGACGTGGCTGGGACAAAATTCCCTCTTCCTCACAGCCCCAGCCCAGTCTGGTTCCTCACTCTTTCTTCCCCCCTCAAACTCCGCGGGCGAGGAGCGCAGCTAGGCCTTAGCCTTTCCCCAGCTCAGGCCTTCTCTCCCTAAGCCCAGCCAGAGAAACCCGAGTGGACCTAGAGGGCGAGGTAGTGAGGGGGTCTCCCAGAGAGAAAAAAAATCCGTCAGAGTTTTCCAGACTTTCCAGATCCCCGCCAGCGCCCCCTCCAGCGCCTCCGCCTGCAAGTGGGGGCGGGGGGGGGGGGGGGGACGGGGACGGGAGGGACGCTTCTCCTGGCAGGGGCGGGGATTTCCTGGGGAGAGGCAGGCAGGAAAGAATAAGACTTGGAGCTTGGGGAGGGGGGTCGGAAAGGGGCCGAATGGCTGCACAGCCCCTGGCCATGGGCTGTGAAGGTTGCCCAGGCGCCTGCTCTGCCCACCCCCTTCTCCTACCCCCAGTCAGGTTCTTCCCGCACTTCCATGTAGCTCAGAAATCCCTCTCCTGTGGACCTTGTGGATTTCAATCCCTGGAGAGCCTGGTCCAGAGACCTTTCCTCCATAGGGCACAAAACAGGTCTTGTCCTCTGCCCTGCCCATATATTTGTGGAGGCTTGAATCTTGCTTTTCCATGCCCACAATTAACATCTATTTTCTATCCGAAATATCTGACATAGGTATCACATGAGGGTCATACACGGGGATGTAGAGCCGCCTTCCAGGCCATTGTGTCTGGTTCTACACACACACACACACACACACACACACACACACACGTTGAAAATGACCTTGTTGCTACTCTGGGGTCTCTGACATGATGAGGTCTACTCGGCTACCATGGCTCCTCACCTCCAGGCTCACCCCAGAGTCCCCAGTACTCTCAGCCTCATGACCCCACCCCACCCCCATCTAGTTCTGCCCACCCAGGATCACTTCTCCTGGGCATCCTGTCTACCTCTCCAGAGGCTTGGTTCACTTTTCCATGCTGACAGGCAACTTCTCAGCAATGGCAGTGCTTTGGGACATCCAGGGAGAGGGACCTCCAACCTGAGATAAGCCCCCTCTAAGTCCCACCTGGGCAGGCCCCCTCCCCCACTTAAGTCCCCTTCCCTCAGCCATTATTGAAGATTGGAAGGCTCTGGAGGTGAAGAGGACAGGTCTATCCGTTACCAAAAAAACCCTCAGTGCATCCTAAACGAGGCCTCCTCTTCCCTTAAAATTAAATACAATTTCAAAGGCCATTTCAGGGGTTCGTTGCAGCAACAACCAGCTTCTCCTCTACAGGGTAGAAAATCCATCGGTCTGATAGGGGAGCCGGCACACCAGGCTGCAATTTCTCCAAGTAGGCACCAGGTGTCGCTGTGGGCTCGTTGTCCCGGCTACCCCCAATTCCAAAGAACCATTTTTTTTTCCTCCCCCTTCTCTCTGTTTCTCTCATTCCCTCTCCCCTTTGGTTAGGCTTTGCCAACATATCAAGATGCGTTTCGCCGGCTTCCATCACTAACCTCCCGGAGGTCATCAAACCAAATTTATGAGTGGTCGCTGGAGTCACGTGACTCTATTTAAGGCTCCCTTATTTGGGAAGAGCGCATAGGATAAAGAAAGAGATATCTCCACCTATAAATTGTGCACTTTGGAGAACAAAAAACCCCTCAACTTCAAAGAGTCACAAATCACCCTTAATCAAAAAGGGTGCAGAAATTTTTTTGGGCCCTCCCCGCCATGAGCTCCTACGTAGCCAATTCATTCTATAAGCAGAGCCCCAATATCCCTGCCTATAACATGCAAACTTGTGGGAACTATGGATCGGCCTCAGAGGTGCAGGCATCCAGGTACTGCTACGGCGGATTGGACTTAAGCATCACTTTCCCACCGCCTGCGCCTTCCAACTCTCTCCACGGGGTAGACATGGCTGCCAACCCCCGGGCTCACCCCGACCGCCCCGCCTGCAGCGCCGCGGCCGCTCCAGGACACGCTCTGGGCAGAGACGAAGCGGCTCCTCTGAACCCCGGGATGTACAGTCAGAAGGCGGCTCGCCCAGCGCCGGAGGAGCGAGCTAAGAGCAGTGGGGAGATCAAAGAGGAGCAGGCGCAGACAGGGCAGCCCGCCGGACTGAGCCAGCCACCGGCCCCGCCACAGATTTACCCGTGGATGACCAAACTGCACATGAGCCACGGTAAACTTTAGGACTTCATTTTGCGCGCTCGGGTCCGCCTGGGTTTTATAGGCCATGCGGGGCAAATAAAGAAAAAAAACCTGCGGCCATAAATTTTACGATCCAGGCATCAATGGCTCGTAAAACTGTCCACTAAAAGGCTTAGAGGCTGTGTGCGCCCAAATTTACGACGACATAATTGGATCATAGGAACAAAACGTGTATAAAAGGCAATATTCAATTTTTGGGGGAGAGGGAGGGAGTTAAAAAAATAGAGGGATCTAAAGGGTGAGGAGCGCGGGGCTCCAGCGCGGGGATCCCCCCGCGGCTCCCTCCTCCCCCGTGGAGCCGGCTCGGCCTGCGCTCGCCGCTCCGGAGGACTCCAGCGACTTGGGAGGGGCGGGAGGGGGGTCCCCGGTGCTCGGATCTTGAGGGTGCTTATTGTTCGGTCCGAGCCTGGGTCTCCCTCTCCCCCCACCCCTCAGCCCCTCTGGCTGCGGAGTGAAGGCTGCGGCGGAAAGTTTCCTGCCTGGGCGGCGGCGCCTCTCCCGGGGCTGGGCTGGGCCGGGCCCGCCTGCGGCCCGCCGGGCCTGCCTCGCCCTGCTCGCCTCCATCCCTCCGCCGCGGGTCGGGGCCTGGGACTCGGGTGGGGACGCTGAGGCGCTGCACGCTATTCACCCCTTCCTGGCTTGGGGGGGCTTATATTCCAGAGACAGACGGCAAGCGGTCCCGCACCAGTTACACGCGCTACCAGACTTTGGAACTGGAAAAAGAATTCCACTTTAACCGCTACCTCACTCGCCGCAGGCGCATAGAGATCGCCAACAACTTGTGTCTCAACGAGAGACAGATCAAGATCTGGTTCCAGAACCGCAGGATGAAGTGGAAGAAAGATTCCAAAATGAAAAGCAAAGAGGCTCTTTAGGAGGCGGCGAAGAGGCCCGCCCGGAGCGCCCTGGCTGCTCCCACTCCCCTCGCCTTTCCTTTCCGGTTCTCCTCTCTGTATTTTAGGGCAAGGGCGGTGGCCGGGGACCCGCTCCGGGCCTCAGAGACAAAAGCGCTTTCCCCGGCACCCGCATCTCCACCGACCCCAGGTTCCCGCGGGGCTGACCACGCTGTGCTGACTCCCCTTAGTTCTGCTGGGCTCCGGGCCGCCCCGGGGCCAGCTCCGCAGGCTTCCCAGGGCTGTGGCTTCCTGGCGCTGCCCAGGCTGGCGCCGACCCCACCGGACCGGCCTGGGCCGCCTCTCAGCCTTCCAGCCCCAGCTGGACCCACCCCCGTTAAGGTGGGCCGTGTGGTTGCTGCAGGCCGGGCGCCCCGACCCTCCAACCTCGCGCTCTCCTTTGTTCCCGGTTTAGGCTGGCCAGGCCGCTTCGATCTGGCGAGAGAGTGGTTGTGCCTGGGGGAGTCTGGCGCCAGATTCGGGGTGCTTCCTTGTAGTGACTACACTCAAGTTTTTCATTTTTTAATGATTTGCATAATAAAAGGGGGAGCCGATTGAAGTCTGCCTCCGGCCCCTTGGGTTGTCCTATGCTCTCTAAACCTTCCTCCGACCCCCAAACCCGGGAACCTCTCCAGCCTGCGCCCTCTGCATGCCTTCAGGCCCCCAGCCTCAGACCACTAGCGAGCTCAACTATTGAGGCTCCCTGCCACAGGACCCCAGCAGCGGTCCTAGGGGCTCCTGGCTGCTAGTATCCTTGCCGCCACTTTCTGTGCCCGCCTGCCCCATCGCTGTTGTACAACTATTTATTGACGCCAGGTCTTTCCTGAAACTATATTTTGTCATAGCAAATAAAGACAAAGAGAGAACAGGACTAAAAATGCAGTGGCTCCTCTCTGATTGGGGCACGTATTGGGCAAAAAAGTCTAAATGGGCTGTGAGGTGGAGGGGGAAGCCCACAGCCTTTAAACCTCCTCTTTAAAGGAATTTTTAGGAGCTTCTTCGGGTATTGAGACAAGGCAGGTGAAAGTGGGCTCCTGTCCTGACCCCTGGCCCCAAGAAGGGCCTCTGGGGGAAGGGGAGGACCCAGGTGCCTGTCCTGTGCTGTGGCCATCCAAGGCATTCGGGCCTCTGCACCCCATCCCCTTTTTGGCTGGGTGGCTCTGGGGTCTCTAGACTGACAGCGGCCCTCACTGCAGGCAAGAACGAATCTGCAGGGACTCGTGGCTCTGCGGTAGGGTTAAGGGGTCCCCGAGGGGCCTAGGTGGACATAAAGTGCTGAGCCCTCAGCCGAGGGTCCTATCTGGTCGCAGAAGGATCCTCAGAAAGAGTTGGTGCTGCTGAGTAAAGGGGTTCTGGGAAGTTGGGGGTGTGCCTCAGCTTCCTCAGATACTGGCGGAGGGCGAGTAGGGCGGGCAATCTGCAGGGTATACCTGCCTGGCAGGAATCTTCAGACCATTTCCCCACCTTCTAGGGCCTAGGGCTATGCGGGACAATGAGCTGGAAAGGGGCTGCATAGACCAGTGCCTGAGTTTCATCTGTTTGCCATCATTTATCTCTGGTCGCTGGGATTTTGTGTAGGGGGAGGGTGGGCAGAAGGGAAGGAGAAATGGCAGATAATTCAGGTGGTGCCTGAGACTGGCTTAGGCCCATGCTCTGCTCTGATTCAGGCTCTTGGGATGGGAAGGGGGAGGAAATACTTTATAGGAGAAACAAATGTGGGAAGGGTCCATAAAACTTTACTGCATTTCCTCTCCCGCCTCCCACAATGGGGTGATTTCCTGGAGCCAAGCCTAGGCCCCCCATACTGGGGGGGGGGAGAGGTTCAGGAGCTGGGCTAGAAGGTTTTTCCAGCAGCCAAGAGGGAAAGAGAGCAGGGAGGCTCTGGGGAGGGGTAAGGGGAATATTTATGATTATTAATGCTGATGCTCCTTGGATTTATTATAAGGACTGACTTCTCTGCATCCTATTGCCTAAGCCACCTGTCATTTTTTAAAAGACCCAAGAGCCTTTCCTCACTCCACGCTAGCCAGTAGGAGGTCTCACCAAATGTTTATTGAACTGCACCCATTGCAGCACCCTTCTTCACACTGCACTCACTCAGACCAGATTAGGCCTCCCGAAGTGGCTCTCCTCCACCAGCACACAGCAGACAGCCCAGCGCCAGCTCGCCCACTCTCTCTCTCTCTCTTTCTCCCTCTCTTTCTCAAATAAAATGTGTAATTTTTCGTCAGGGAGTTATTTTAATTTTTTCTCCATGCTGAGTAAAACTATTGGGTGAGCGGTGAAGCATGGAGAAGCACTGGCGTCACCAGTGGGTAACCGTTAACTAAGAAAGAGGCCCTGGTGCCTGCCATCACCTGCCCCAGCCTCCCTGACTACCCGAGGCCCTGGGCTTCCTAAACCCCAGGGGATGCACCGCCACAGGGGGAGACCCAAGGGCTTGGCCAGGGGTGGGGGCAAAGTTGCTCAGACCCGCTGGGCAGGGCGCTCCAGCCCCACCTTGCACTGACTGCCTCCTCCCTGAAGGGTTTGGGCCTCTCTTTCACTGGAAGAGCTGGGCAGGCTTGGGTGGAAGCAGCCATGACACCCGTTCCGGTCCTGTCACAATCTGCAGGTCTTCGCCCAGGCCCCAGCCTCTGCTTCAGCAACATCAGCAGCCACAACCCTGCACTGGGAGTGGGTACAGCCCAGACCCTTGCTTTTCGCCCTGAGCAGAGGCTTCTACTTTGGAGTCTGAGGTGGTTCCCCCACCAGCCAGCCACCTGGAACAATCTCCACGTACCAGGGTTTAGCATTACTCTGGGGGAGTTAGTGGAGGGGCTCCTGGGTCCCAAACAGAGACAATAAAGCCTGCCTCTTCACTTTGCCCTGAAACCCACCCCCTCTGTCATTGAGAAAGAAGGGGAAGAAGCATGACTTACCTTCCCGGGGGAGTGGGAAGAGGGGGATACGGCCCACTCTGAGCAATTAGAGGAGAGAGGAGGAAAAAAATAGGAGGAAAAAAATATCAACACGACCTCGAAGGAAGGCGACAGGTCCTTATGGAAATAAGTAAGTAAATAAATAAGGATCCACCCTCTCCCCCCTCCCCACCCTGCAAGGGGGGTGTGGGGGTGGGGCAAAGGAGCAGCACGAGGTCTTTTTAGTGTAACTGAGCATTAGAGAAATACCCACGGCTTCTATGTGAATTTAGGAGTTTGAAACTTTTGGAGGTTATTTATGTGAATGGCCCGAAGGCAAGCCCGTGAGTGGCTCTTGGGGGACCACGTGATGTCATTAAACCAAGTTTTATGGTGTAGGGAGAGCTGACAAACCCACAATATATTTACATCATATATAATCTTAACTGTCCAGCCACGCAGCTGCTGGTGAGGTTTAATGCTAGGACAGAGGGCCTGGCAGTTAGAGGGGATTACGGCGCTGGGGATGATGGTGAGAGAGGTTACTTCTTCGCAAATGAATCCCAGGCGAATGCTGTAAGTTAATTTTCTCTCTCTGACCCTTTCTCCCGTTTACCTAATCTTCCCACTTTGTGAGAGAAGACAGTCCCCACTCATTAAGGGGAGGGGAAGAAGGCCTCCCCAGGCACCAGGCACCGTCAGGCTGGGGTAGGAGAAGAGAAGAAGCCGCTGGGAGGTAGGCGGATGGGGGAGCTTGTCGCCCCCAGACTATCCCTCTCCTCCCTGCCCTTGTTCCCTCCAGTTGTTAGTCAACTGGGGTAAAGAGAGGCCTGGGCTCTTTAGAGCTTTGCCAGGTCTCCCTGACCCCCTCTCCCTCCTCAGTTGGGAAGAAAGACAGGAGCCACATATGGGTGTTTGGTGGGTGTTTGCAGGAGTATGTGAACCGCAAGCGCAAAATGCCTCTGGTCCAGGAAAGGGCCAGTCTGGCCCTTGGCCAGTGACCCAGAGTCCAGGCAGGGTAGGCAACTGGGGAAGGAGGGCTTTGGGACTTCTGAACCCACAGGCTTTGAGCTGAAATGGCAGAAGCATCTTAAAAGTGGCCAACTGAACCCCAGGGGTCCTAACGCATCCCCTTCTTCTTCACCAGTAGGCCTGGGTGGGCAGCTGTCTCAACCTCAGTGGTCTGGGGTTTTAGTCTGTCTGGGGCCAGTGTGGTTTCATGCCTCCTCCTCCCTCTAGCTGCTGGGGTCTTTCCTGGCATCCCTAGCCCTTGCCAACGGTAAAACCAGGCCTGGGAGGCCTAGAGGTTACTCCTATGAGTGGAGTGTAAGTGGGTGGGCGAATGGAGGCAACTGTCTTTATTAGGCTGGCCAGGCCTCAGCCCTCAGGAGGGAGTGGGTTCTGGTGGATGGAGCCACCAGGGCCCAGGGTGGGCATGGCACCCTGGGGACAATCTCAGGCTGGGGCTCCCTTCAGGTTTCTGGGAAGGAGCAGAATAGGCGGCAAGCCTGGAAGGCACGTGTCCTCCACACCTGTGAGTGGTACCCCACCCTGCGGGTCACCCAGAGCTAAGCCAGGAAAGCGACAACATGTGAACTCAGGCTCCTTGAAGGGGCCCACCAGCATCTCGAGGGATTCCGAAGCAGAGGGAAGGTGGTCCCAATGAGGGCAGCTTGGGCAAGAGGAGAGGAGGAGGGGGCGAGCCAGGTCTATACCTTTCCAGAATAGTGGGGGACTGCCTTGGAGCACGAGGGGGACTAGGCACCGCATTGTGAAGAGGTGCATTTGGGGAACTGGGAGAGAGGCTGCTAGCTCGCCCCTACCGCCCTGGAGACTGAGGAAGAAGCAGGGATCAGCACCGACAGGGAGCCCCGGCAGACTCTGGAAGGGGGAAAGGGGAAGGGGGACAGAGACCCAAATACACCGTCTGAGCTGGAGCCCCAGCCCCCACCCTGGTGGTCCGTGGTCTGTGTGAGGATAGCGAGCGCCGGGACTGGGGAAATCCTACGCCTCCCCTGGGTTTCTCTCGGAGCTTCCGCTTCCCCACCCTCCTCTCTAGTCTTTTATTTCCTGGGGGGCGGGGGCGTTCAGATCCCCGAGGATTCTCACATTTGTAGAGTGAGCTCTCAGGTTCTCCCTTCCTCATGTCTGGCCCTCCTCGACTCTCCCCTCCCCACGTCTGTGCTTTTGAGGGTTTCTGAAAACTTTCCACCCAGGCAGTGGGGAGATGGGAGTTTCCCTTGGTCTATAATTGTTCCCCTCGATCCGGCCTCCTCAAAACTTTAGGGAGCGAGTCTCATGGTCTGTAACCAAGCCTTCAGCCAAGACCCCACCTGGCACGACTCTCAGCCTTCCCCGACTCCTGGCCGAACCTCTTCCCATTCCCTCCGCTCCGTGTGGGGCGGTGTACTCGGGTTACACAGCGTCTCTTAGGGGGACTATGACTTCCTTGTCCCATTTTCTGTTTCTTAGGCTCAAAAATGTCACTCCTTCTTATTATCCTAATAATAATAGATCGTCCTTCCTCTCAAATAATTTAACTCGGCCAGTTTTTTTGCTGTTTAGTAGTGGAATGAATGGAAGTAGGACGAATACAAATTGGGCATGAGGTTCTTGGTTTTCCCACCCCCACTTCGCGCTCTAATTGGGGGGGTGCACTGGAGAGGGGGGGATGGGCAGTCAATCAGGTGCCCCAGCCAACCCGGAAAGCTTTAAATTTTGTTCCTAGGTCTTTTAACCCTAGAAGGGTCAAGCAACCAATCAGGAATGCTCTAAGTAGGGTCACATGGCCCTCACCAACCAATCAGGCCTAAAGTACTTGGGTCTCTGTCTCGCTCCACCCGGTCCCTCCACCTTGGCTCCCTCCCTCCCCACCACTCCCTATAGCTCCTGGGTCCGCCCTATCTCAGATGCCCAGGGGAGTAATGCTGAGCCTATTCTAGCCTCTGTCCCTGAACCAGCTGTGGAGAACCCTTGGCTTCTATTCTAAGTTGTACCTGGAGGTCAATCTCAATTGTACAAGGATCAGAAGTTGTGAGGGTGTCCTCTGGATTACTCCCATCATGGCCTGTGTGATCCTACCCAGTTCTCTAGGTTTTATAGATGTGGATTCTAGATTAGGCTGTGCAGCAGGTGTGGATATGAACTCGAACCCTGAATTCAAATTCTGAGTATGATTATTCCCTATACACTCACCTTGTACAAGTTATCATTTTCTTCCGATCTTCTTGGGGGCAGGTGTGATGATTAGAAGAGGCCTCTTTTGATTTGTGTTTCTGGAAATGTTCCAAAAGTCATTAGCTTTATCAACGTGATGATCCTGTGTCCTGGCCAATAGCTGTCAAAGGATACAGTCACTGAAGGTGTGGATTTCAATGTTTATGTGTACATGGGTCAGGTCAGAGGAGAAACTATTTCTGAGCAAGAGCATTTGATGGCACAGAGAGTGTGCATGTACGACAGAAGTGTGTGTTTCCTAAACATTTTGGGCTGGGCCCTGACCCAGCCCACTCAGGAGTTCAGACCAGGTATTTCTCTCCTCATCCCCCCACCCCTCTCCAGGACTTTGTTCCAGGGTTAATTTTCTGGTTGAGTTCTCCTCCCCTCCCCTTCTCCTTCTGATCTCTGGTCCTCTTGAGCTGACTGAGGGGTGAGAGTTCTGATGGGCTGTGCCCCTGGGACCTCTAAGCCCTCCTCTGAGGGGCCTCAGGGGTGCAGGATGGGAGAGGTAATACAGTTTGAGCTGGGCTTTGTCAGCACCCTCCTGTTTGTTTGTCTTCTGGGTAGGGCTGGTTTAGGGACTATGCCACAGGTGGGAAGGATTAGAAAGTGAAGCCAGAGGGAAGGCAGCTCTTCTGGAAACCATTGAGCCCCCACTTTCCGCATCACCTTCATCACACTGCTCCATTGACTCCCTCATGAGTTAAGAATGAAAGCACACACATTCTTTTTCCCTGGTAGATGGTGTGGTAGTCTTGTCTGAGACCAACCCGCACCTCCAGTGTGGATTTCTCACACTAGAGTTTCCAGATCCCATGAAGCTGGGGAAAGACAGGGGGCATTGGTTGTCTAAGCAGGCTCTGAGAAGAGAGATTTTATTGCTCAATCCCTTCTAATATCCATGTAAACTTTTTCTTTCTCTTTGACTCTGCCTCTCTGTGTGTGAGTTTCTAACCTGGGCTTCAATTCTGTATTTTCTTTTGATGAGGAGACAAGCACCACCCTGAGCCTCTACCTCGGTGGGCCTGGAGACCTTGGAGCCCTTTGAGGTGGAGAAGGGGGAAAATCAGGACCCCAAGCTAGGGATCT